TTTTTTAAGAATGTCATGGACAATTTTCCCCAACAAATAAGTACATTCATTAGTCAAGTCAAACAAGGAGTAAAACATAAAATTAAATTTGGTTTAATTGTAGATGGAGGAGCCTATGAAAGATTTAATGATACTACGAGTAAGAAAATTAAACTTATATTAATATTTCAGAGGACAATAAATTATTGTTATCCTTTATGTTAATATAAATTGTTTCTTTATGTTTTTTAAGGTTTTGATTTTACAATAACAAATAAAGTGTTGGATATTTATCTAATTGACTTTGTAAATTTAAACGTTTGTGATTCAGAAGCTAAGCAATATGGTGTGGCTCCAATAACATGCCCAAGTCCGAATTTGACGACTATGGTAGGTACTTGTTCTTAACAACAGTAAAATAATTCAATTTAAAAATACTCCATTACTTACGAAATATTTCAGGAACAAGTGACTTCAGCTGTAACGAGTTCAAAAATGGATAAGTCCAAAGTTTATGCTTGGTTACAGAGTACAATATTGATTCCAGCTGATCAACCGCTAATATATGATCTGCAACTTACAACGTATTCTAAGGTATGTTAATTTTTAAATGTAGATATAAAAGTTTAAGAATTAACTTTACCTTGAATTATTAAATTGTTCATATAAATATTTCATTTTAGTTTATACTAATTAAAGTATATCTAATTTTTATCACATGATAAGAATATTTGGTTTGCATTCGTAAACAAAAGATATGGAGAAAAATATTTAATAACTGTTTATTAAAAAAATAACAATTTCACTCTCACATTTTTAAAATTAATTTTATATCATTTTTGATAACAATTTTTTTTTTTTGAATAAATGAAGAAGAAAATGATGGTAAGTTTTAATACTAAAATTAAATCTAGATGAAGTGGACTTAAATATTTTGAAATACTACTGTGCCCTTTAACTGATTATATACTTAAGAGAAACAACCATTTTTATGAAAAAAATATATACAGTCTTTACGTTCTTTTTATACAATTTAAATAAAGGTAATTAAATTAGGAATACCCTTTTATCAAACTTCATATAGAAATAAAACGTGAAAACACTTACCTAACATATTATTCTCGATTACACAGATAACAGTTTATTTTTAGTGAAGTATATTTTTAGCAAGGTTAAAATATGTCTTTGTCTTCAAATTTCATGTTTTTGTAATTTTCCACTTAAAATCTCTGTTTTGTTTTTATTTCAGTATTGTAGCATTAATACCGAAAATTCAACTTTTTGGTGTCAGAACAGTCCACAGCTTTCACATGACCAAGTAAATATTTTTAAATCATATTTAATCTCTGATTATAAAACGGGATTTAATCATAAAGGCAGACCAATCCGATACAAACATATATAAAGACAGAAAACAGGATATGAAAGAGTATAAAATGTATTGTGAAAAACTAAGTGTGATATCTAATGCACTCTAAGGAAGAAAATATTTACAGTTGGAGATATTTTTAACTTAAACCTTTATAACCTTAACTAACAGATCGTACCTTAATATTAATACAATATAGTGATATGTTCCACTTTGTTATATGCATAAAATAAATACACGTTTAATGATAATTATGGTGGTGACTGATCTGTTTAAACCATGATTGACAAAATATCGATAACCAACCAAATACATTTGTCATCGTTTTATCTTATTAGTAGCCATATTTAAACGTCTTCTTCTAGCAAAACATATACTGTATTATGGCATATTAGAAAGTTAGGTACTAAATGTAAGTGCACAGTGATTATGCAATTTTGTTTATAAAAAGAATTACAGGTTAAGAGTTGAATTATTATTTTATCAGTGTAACCATCTAGTAAAGTTCTTCGAAAAATCAGTATGTGTGTATTTATTTCGTGGGCAGTATAAGTTATAAGTTTTTGGTTGCGGCTTTCTAAAGTCCCTCAAAATATAGGAGACGAGAAAACTAAAATTCCAAATACTTGTTATTCGTGTGTTCACCAAATCGTGGGTTAATATTTGATTAACAATGTCTTCATATGACCAACTGAGACTTCAATGATTAAAACATCTTATTTACTGTTGAATATAGGTATTAAACGTTTTCTATATGTTCGGAGATTTACTAAGTATAATTTTTGATTAAAAAATATCAATATTGATAATTGATACATAGTATCAAGCAAAATCTAACCTTGATTATTCCTCTTCTGACAATCTTTGGTATTGTAGTTTAGACTTGAGCAAACTGTAACGCTTCATACTGTTAAATGTTTGACATAGACAAAGAGATTCTAATTTTCCAATTTCTATTGCCCTAACTTAAGATTTCATATAGAGAAAAATTTATTTATTTTTATGTTTTGATATGGGGTTCATAAATAAGATATTGAAGCATAGCACTTTAGTGAGGCACATGAGGCCTAAAAGATGAATTTCTGCTGAATATTCTGGCCACTGATTTGCATTGGAAAATTGAAGGTACCGCTTTCAATAAGTATTTCTTCCAGATTAACAAGAGATAAAAAATTAATTGAATTCAAGATTAACACATCAATTACAGTGACTCACTCTACTTACTCTTATTTATAGCTAAATTGTAATCATTTTTCTATCCTTTTGAAATACTTACTTTTTTGTTATTTATTTTAGGCGGCTTTTGCAAAAAAGAACTACAAAGGAATTGTCATAGAGGGTCTTGATTCAGATGATTTCAATTCTAGTTGTGGTTGTGAACAATTTCCAGTTACAAAAGCATTTATTAGTGGCTGGAAATCAAGTCCTCTCGCACTGTGTTCCAGATTAGGTGGAACAAAACAGACGAAAATGGGATAAATTAAATTATATCTTTTAAACTATACATTTAAGATATACAGTTATAATTATTTATATATATTTATCAATATTCTCACTAAATTGTCATAATTATATGTGTTTAAATCGTTGAAAATATTAATGTTTGTTACAACTACTGTTGTAATATGTATTTCAGTTCAAAAATTATCACTTTTATCAATTTATGCAATATAATATCAGCACACATTCAGAAAATTAAAATATTAAATTGCATACACGAATTGAATAACTACCTTATGTGTATGAAAATTAATATACAATTATTTCGTACATATACATCTCTAGAAACTACAATGTTTGTCCCTGATTCATTGTAACTAAATAGCCTATATAGGACTCCATGAGATCATCATTTTCTTGTTTAAATAACTAATAGAAAAGTGACAGATTAATATATAAGTTTTGAAATTATATGATGATAATATTTGTAGCCATCATTTTTCGGAACAGATAAAATACTTAAATACTCAACTTTCAAGTGTTTTATACTTGTCTATTAGTTAATTGGATTAACGGTTGAAAAAAATATTTTAAATAGTTTTGACAATAATAAAACTCTACCTATCCCTCTTTTCAAGAAAAAAAAAAATGCTCAATATTAACTTTTGCCCTTTAGAGTGAGGTTTCATCATAAGATAAATATTGTTAATTAGATTTTAAGTTCTTGAAGTTCTTCTTACCTTTCATTTTTCGAAAAATACAATGAAATATTTCTCAAAATAATTTCTATTGAAGGACATACCTTCTATTTTTTTTTAAACCATACATGTAATTATAACAATGTACTAAATATTATAAAAATCAATCTGGAATACGAGTAAAGTTAAAATAAGTAACAAATTTGTGTAAGTAACTTCTATTAATGTTTTGTTGTACTTATCTGTATGTATTTTTTAATTATTTTAATATCTGACATTATTTGTAGAAACTATTACTATCATCAAAGTTTTTATAAAAAAAATAAATAAATATTTTACATTGGTTGTTATGGCTTTAAGATAAATATTTTATCATTAAACCATTGTTCTCTAATAAAAATGAACCGTTATTGAATGATTCCTAATTAAATGTTAATCTAAGTGCATCATAAAGATAATACAAAAGTTTTAAAATTTAAATGATAATTTTACCCTTAGATGTCTGTATAATATACCAATAGCTAAAAATTAGTAAAACCCCACGATACAAACATGCTCCTGTGTAAGCAAATTGTATGTGAAACCAAATTGATATAGTTAAATAGAAATGAAAATATTCAATTAAAATGGGCGAATGTAAGTTCCTACACGAGACCTAGCAGGTAAACAAGATACATATGTTAGTTCCTACACGATAGAATAAGGTACATATGTAAGTTCCTACACGGTAAAAAGCAGGTACATGTGTAAGTTCCTACACAGTAAAAAGAAGGTACATGTGTAAGTTCCTACACGGTAAAAAAAGGTACACCTGTAAGTTCCTACACTAAGTATATTATAAGTTATCAATCTAATATCAGTTATATCATATTATAATACTGCCATACATTTTAACCCTTTATTCTATATTCTATATAATTCTTTATAATATTTAATAATTTACCTAATAAATATTATCAATTTAATAATTTAAAAAATAATATTTGTAATATACTAATAATTCATCATTTATTGTAAAAAAATTATAAGTAATGCAGTCTA